AATAACGATAAGCAACTTTGATCTGATTTATTCAACTTGAGAGACAAAAACAGAAATTAATTATTAAAAGACGGATAACGAATTCCATTAATAAAATATAGATTTTCACGATTCTTTTCTAAACAACACAAAAATTTAGATTTTTTAAATACTTTTTAACGCAGATCTAAATGTGTAAAAAGTGACTACAATGTTAATCAAATGGGTGACGTCATATTTAACACACTTATCCGCATTAAAATAATGCATTTTGGAAAACTGAGATTTACAGTGTACTATTACATATAATAAATATTATTGTATATTATATTTTTACATGAAGAGAAATATTTTCGTGTCATCTTTTTTGCTCTTTTATTTTCTGCTCAATGTTATGTGTACGTTTGTTTTGACTGTCTTACTATCACAATGTTCTATGATTACGTCATCGTATAGTTGAATCAAAATAAATTCAAAATCAAACCTTTTATCAATTGATCTGCAGTAGCGTAAATGGTAACACATTAGAACGATAATACACCTGTTTGACTTACTAGTAAAATTGATTTTAGGCCGTAAGAGGGACGGCGGAGGTGTGTCAACAGCGGGATTCTAAAGATCCTGGTTCGAATCCAGGCTGCAGATCTTTTTTTTTTATTCGATTCATATTTTAAATATAATTTTAATGATAAAAAATCTAGCATTGCTGAACTTTTCGGTTGTATTTCATGATTTTTTCTATCGTAAATAAATTAATTTAATCAACATGAAAAAAAAAATATTCAAAGGACACCTTTTTAATTTATTTATAAAATTAATGTTAAAAAATAAAATTAACTCATTTTTATTTTCAATATCAATTTGAATTAATAACTAGTAAAATAAGTATCACATACTTTAAAGTAATGGTTTAATTACGTGTAAATAAATAATTAAATGTCGAATTATTAAGTAATTTATTTATAAAATCCTTAACGCGTTTTAACTGTTTATATATATATATATCTGCATCAAAGTTTTTTTTTGAATGATAATTCATTCAACATCAGACTATACAATAGATTGAAAAAATATTTAATAATTTTTTTTATATATTCAAAAGAATTTATTGGAAACATTTTTGAAGATAGTTTTTTAATTACAATTATAAATTCAAAAGTATTTTTATAGAAGAAATGTTCAAATTGTAAAAAATATCAGAAATTTTTCATTTTCTTTTTTAAATTATTAAACTGAATAATTATTTGTATAATAAATTCATAATTTATTTAACTAATTATCTGATAAATCATAGATAAAATATTTTTGAATTTTTAAATAACTAATTTTATTATTTAAATGGAAGTCATAGAAACTGGTTGAAAAGCTTTAATCAAGCTATAAATAAATACTTGGCTATCTATAATGCGTTGATAATTGAGAACAAAGCCAATATTTTTTTATATTGAGTTATATTAAAGAAGTTTATTTTCAATTTCCTTCTCAAATTATGAGGTTTTACTTGATTAATAGGTAGTTTTCGAATTATCTTTTAACTGTTTAAAATACGCATTAAAATATGATGTTCCATGACAATGAGCTGCAAATAAACCGACTTTTATTCCTATAAAAGAATTGTTGGCTTCTAGTTATTTTTTAAAACAATATTCAAACACTCTAAGTTTAATGAATAAATTATTATTTTTACAATATTTTTATTAAACAACAATATTATTAATTTTCCACAATCCAATTGATTATTTATTTATTTATTTATTTAATTTATTTATTAGTAGTTTAGCGGACATATTTTAACTTATGCTTCTTTCTAATAAAATTAATAAAAACAATAACTTGAGAACTTCCAATGAATAATTCAGAAATATTAATAAAATAAGCTTTTATTTAGAAATGTTTGTTTTTGAATGAATATATTTATCATAAAGAGGTGTAAAGAATCAACTCATCACAAATATTTTCTCTACTTCAACAAATTGAAGAATCACTTGTAAAATAGGTCGAAGTGAAGAATAAAGTGAAGTAATAATCGATGAGAAAAAATCTAAAAAAAAGGGTTAGAATTAAGTGTATATATGTCGCGTGTTGTGAGTTGGCTTGCGTGCATTGTAAGCTTCTTGCGAAGGCACAATAAGCATGTCCCCTTCCATGTAATGTACGTAAATGCCTCAGCTAGATAAGACATAATGAGATAACCTTCGAGGGCTTATAAGATCACCAGCCACGCGACGAAACCTTGTAAATCCTCAGCACTGAGGAGTTAGCCGTTAACATTCTTCTTAGCGCCTCTGTCTTTTCTCTTTCTCTCTTCAACATGTACCATATTACATATCAGTATTCAATCTTTTATTGTTGAATATATTTTTAAAAAAATATTTTTAAAGCGCGAGTTTCTTACCAGGATGCAGTTTAGCTCTCGATAAGTTTGAAACTCGTTAGTGAGAGGAAAATGCGACGAGAAAAAGGCATCCGAGCAAATAAGAGAGTCGAAAAACAAGAGAGCAAGTGAGAAAAAGGCTTATAGATAAAGAGTTGGAAAGAGTTGGAAGTCTTATCAGTAAAGACCGACATCCGCCGGATCAGCTCGAGATACCAAAACGCCTACACTTTCCTTCTGTCTCTCGTTTTAGCCCAAAGTTGTGCAATAATGATGAAAAAATATTTTTCAATGTTTATACTATTTTTTCTTCAACTCTTATTTCATCACATAGCTATGTAGATAAGAAATACTTTTTTCCTCCAATAACACAATAATGATCAACCTTTCAATTTTTTTCTGACTGACGTATCAGTAATTTCCGAATTGGGAAATAGATTAAATGAAGAAGACACCGAATATAACTAGTTGTCAAGAAGATGTGAAGCACGAGAAAAGTAAAATAAAGCAAAAAAAAAGAGGAGAAAGTATAACGAAGACATGAAAAGGGTGCAGAGGTTTTACGTCTTGAAACTAGGGTTCTGCTCACTTTTCTCGACTTGAGGCTTATCTTTCGACGGGTACTGTCAAAGACGAAAAGGCGGGTTGACGCTTCCGCCGCGTTTCCGTCACAGGCCAACAGGGAGATAACGGAAGTCCGATAGGCGCGTTGGACCTCCACCAGAAATGAGAAATGTCTTTAGACTCTTCTTATTTCATTCAGCATCTAAGTGAAAGGAGATTAGGCGTTTTTAAGTGGATACTGGTTACCATTGCTGCGACATAATGCTCTGTAATAGATAACCTAACTTCACTTTAATCTAGATTATCACCATTTAATTATTATCATCTTTTTTTATTTTTAAACCTTCTGATGATTCAACAAAAAAAAAATCATAAATGAGTTTGGATGAAAATAATAATCAGAAGGGAAGTTGATGAGTAGTTTAATAATAGAGGTTGAGAAATGAAAGGATTTATTCAAAAATGGAAAATAAAGAAAAATGTCTTTGGACATAATTCTTAGATGATAATAATACGGTTACTTTGGACTTTAGATAGAAATTAACGTAGAGCTAAGACCTGGTAATAGCGAGCAGACAATCTAGGATGTAAAGAGACGATGGTCGCCTTAATGAAAACTGTACATCCCTAGATTAAAGTAGCCCTAGGACCGGTCAGTCGTCTCTTGGTGTGGCCACCGACCCCTTAATTCACTTCCACTGATGCCTGAGCTGCTGCTTTTGCTATGAACTACAACTTTCAGCTGTATTAAGATCTAATATCTGTATATACCGAACGCACAGAATACCGTCATAAATCCTTTGTTTGAAGCTTCACCATCGGCCCAGACATAATTTGGAGTTTATCACTACTAAATCATTCATTTTTTCTGATATAAATAAAAAAAAATAGTTGATTTTTCAGCAAACTTTTTTGAAATAAACAAAATTATTTTCATAATCTTTTAATAAAAAATATGGCAATTTTATATTAATGTGGTCCCCTCGTTTTTTGGCTCTAGAAAATTGAAGAATCATCCGATTCCAATGAGCTTTTTTTTTAAATTTTCGTTTAATGGCGGATTCATGAAAAAAAAATCGGTGAAGTATCTCACTTGAAGATTTCATATGGTTTTAAGACTTAAAATGTTATCATAAATGCACTTCTTTGAATATAACCGTTCATAACTTTTTTGGAAGTCATCAAATGAAGTAAATATATTTTTTTTGTTAATCTACACAAAAAACCGAATATTTTGAAAAAAAAAAAATTGTAGAAAAATGTTTATTTCTTGATGTTTTACAAATTAAAATAATTTTAATATTTCATAAAATCAACTTTTCTTTTTTATAATCGTATCTATGAATCAAATTTTTGTCACTTGTTTCAAAATTCGTTTACAAATCGAACACTCGCATTATTCAAATATAAACTAATGATATACTGAAAAGTCTTGTTTGAAATTTCGACTAAATTTCCGATTTCAATAGTCCCACAACAAAACAAAATCTCTGGAGAAAATTCTCAACTAGAGTATTCATCTAAAATGAAAAAAAAGGATAAAACAAAAAAGTCCAACATCAAAAAATTTGAAAGTAATGTATAATAGTCATGAATAAAGCTCGTCAATAGCGGGATCCTCATTCTCTTCTTCACCAGATTTCATAGCTGACTACTTCTAAGTCTTATGCGTTTCTCTCTCCCGAGAAATCTGGGATTAGGGGTTGCCAACATTGCCACGACTTGGCAGAGTGGGATATAGACTCGAGTCAGGGTTAAATAAGGATCGCGTCCATTGTGCCGGCCGCTTACTACCGCGATGCCACCTATTGTCTCGCGATTCGTGCTGTGCTCCCGTCTAACCGATGAGTGGATCTGCATACGCTTAACACGAGGGTTACACAGATATAGCTCACAGAAATACTAAAGAGCTATAACATCGAATATCTGCTTGCTTTCATCTTTAATGGGTATTTAATGTCTTGCTAGATCTCTGAGAACTAAGCCTAATAAATAATTCTAATTAATCACTGGTTAATTCATGATTCTTTTTCATCATCAATAGTAATAATGATAATAAAAGATAAGCAATCTTTTGTTTCAGGGAAAAGTCCTGTACCAGTTCACTGTATCGTTGAAGCCATTCACAGTATTGTTGACACCAGGACCTTAAGTGGTCGTGAAAAATGGCCTGGTCCTCATATAGAAATCGATACTTATGTTATTATTCCTGCATCTGTTCCATTTCAGGTAAATTAGAGCTTTATTAAGTTTAATATATGAGAAAGATATCATTTTTTCTGGTGAATCATTTCACATACATATGTTTTTAACTATAGTAATTAACAATAAAAAGAAGACAAATAAAGGCTAATTATTTGGTCAAAAATGAATATAATGGATTAATTGATAATCTAAGAGCTTCTACTGACTTTACATTTCATCAAATTAGCATTTTTTTAATAAGTTGATTTAATCAATCAAAACTCATAATTTAAATTAAATTGAAGCCTTTGTAATGTTCTAAGGATAATTAAGGTTGCAAATACCATCTTACCCTGGTCTCCCTTGATCTTAATAATTCTTCAATATATTGATTAAATCATGAATGTATACATTTTTTGATTTTTTACTTTTGATAGTATTATCTGAAACCAAATACTGATAGTTCTTTACATACTTATGTTGTCAGATAAAGTGACGATGAAGTTTTCCTATAATCAAATATTTATTTGAAGCTAATGTGTTTTTTTACTTAATTTTATAATTGTAAGCATAATACTAAAAATAAATAATTAAATATTAAGTAAACTTTTAACAGTATAATAATGTGAATGTTTTTGGTCATCTAGGACCTTGTAGGAGAAGCTCTGGTGCGTCTGGGTTACCCAACAGACATAATACCAAGTTCTCGAGGGAGCATAGTAGTAAAAAATTGGAAACCACTACCCATGGAAAAGGTGGCAGATGAACCAACTCGTACAGTGGCTGAAATTTTAGCAGACATAACAACAGTGGCTACATTAAAAATCCAAGTTTATAGATCAAGACCACCACCACCAAGTCCAGCATCAGAAGTTAGAGATAAGCTCTTGAGGCTTTTACTCCTTCACAGCCATGCTCTTCTGGTTTCCGCTGGTTGTCCCCTCGATGAGGTAAGTTTTCAATTTGTCTGCATAAGAATTTAAGATTTGGTGTAACGACCATTAACGACCTAAGAAAACTCTAGATGCTAATGCAGGCAGGAAAGTGTTTATTTTTTACTAATCTCATTAAGAAATCCTCACGAATCTTTGCTTAATCTTCAACTTTGGCCTTCTTCATTTAACTTGAATCTATAAATAATCATTCTATTATGCGTATCTTTATTATGACTAGAGATTTGTATTCTAAAAAAATCCTGACATCATTTTGTCAGTCTAACTAGCTGTAAGATCATGCCTAAAATAAAATTATTGAATGAGTTTAATCATGAGGAAAAGATGATAGAGTATGATAATAAATTAACTCGACCTTATTGCTTCAGAATTGGTATAAGTATAGTGATGAGAATTAATTTTTATTATAACACATGTGATCTTTTTTTCAATATTATTAAAGAAAAAACAATGTTTTATCTAAAACAAATTATTAATCTGAAAAGAAATCTATAGTTGAAAACATCATATAACTATTTTATTATAAAAATTATATTGGGATTATTAGTCATACAGATTAAAAATCTATTTAGAAGACTTGGATTAATATCAAAGTCGGTTGAAAGTGAATTCAACCTGACACTTAGATATGACGAAAAAGCTGTTTGAACGTTCGTCATAGAGAATATCAGTATTAAAAGAATCAAAATAAGCAATAAAAATATTACATCATTTTCAAAATGATTTTGATATACTAAGACATTTAGAATCTTACACTCATGAGGTACTTGAACATTTAGAGTTTGCTTATGCTTGTGTAGACTTGGGTATAGACTAGAAGACATGGCCTCGAATGCGGAAGATCTCATAGCCGGAGCGTGTGATAGGATTACCCTTTACTCAAGCAAATTCGCGGCAGCCTTCATCAAAAGCCCCTACGATATCGGCCAGGGAGTAGTAGAGGGAGATATAGTTTCCCCCTTTTCACCCACTTCAGGCCGAGCATTATCTAAGTGCACCTCTTTGAAGATCCCTCCCTTCCTTCACCGAACTTTAATGCTGCTCACGGTGGTCTATGATTACCAATTTTCTCTGACAGACGTTTCTCGTTCACTCAAATATCCTTCTGCTTCCCCGCTACTCTTTCTTTCTCTCTCTTTCTCTCTCGCCGTCACTGTATCTCAACTAATACTGAAGGACTTGGCCTCGTCACTTTTCAGAGTTACTTGGATATTTCTATGGAGTCGGAAGTGATTGATTTACTGCTTAGACGTAATGATATATAAAAATATATCATTACTAGCTGTAAACTCATCATCAAGTAGATATATTCTTACTTAAGTAGTAAATCAGGCAGAAAGTCTTACGAGATAAGCCGGGCGTCTCCGTGTCAGTGTTTGCTAAACGATTTTTTAGATCAGCACTTGGACTACCCATGAAGAAAGATAGAAAACACTCTTTGCTTACGAGTGATTAAAACAAGTGCTTGGAAAATAATGTAGCGAAGTATAATGAATAAATCATTTTTCAATTTTATATAAATAATTATTGATAATTAATGGATTTTTTTGCAACAAAAACTTAATTTTATTTTTCTAAAAAAAATATGTAATACGATATAAATTAAATTTAATGCTTAAATAATTATCAATATAAAAATGAACAATTACTTTCTTATTCAGAAAAAATTTTTTTAATAACATGATAGTTATTAAATCACAATGTATTATTGAACTAACTTTATGATTAGAATTATTATGAATTAAATATGAAAAAACTTTTGTTTTATTGTCTCTACACAATTATACGCTTATTACATGTTGATTGTACGTAAAGAGAAACTTTTATTAAAAATAAGTGAAAGAGGACGAGCTACTGAGACTGCGAGATCCACAGATTACCTCATTAGGTGGCGTCAGGCTTGATCCCTCCGACGTATGCCTGTTTGTTCTTATAAATCACGATGATAAGGTTTCACCACACTTCAACGACTAAACTTTTCCATAATCTTTAGACAAATGATCCCTGTCGTCACTTGAATATTTTACTAGTGGCATTGAGATTGTTAATTCACTTGTCCTTATAAACTTGAGAAAAAATCTCATTTCATCCATGAAATCTAATCTATTACTTCTGACAGTAAGATTAACAAATAAAATACTCTCATCTAACAATGCAAATTAATCTCTAATATAATTATTACTTCTTTAAATATTGAAACTTTAAGTTAATTAATTTATAAACAGTAAATAAGATATTTTTTTATCTTCCTAGATGACATTATCATCGTTATGTCGTGGTGGAAATGAGCTTAGTGAAGAGACACGTCGTAGCTTTGAATCGTGGCTTCAACAGCAGCAATTACCAGGTCTAGGACCATCAACTAATTCAATATTAACAGCCTGTGCTAATAATAACCGCCAATTACATAATCAAAGTCCACGATCTGATTCTGGAGGTGTGGGACCACCCGTTCATTCTCATCACCCTGCAATGCTTCCTTATTCTCACAAGACTCGAATGCGTACCAGCTTTGATCCAGAATTAGAACTACCGAGACTTCAACGATGGTTTGCTGAGAATCAACATCCTTCTCGCCAACAAATCCAGCGATACGTTGCGGAATTGAACTCACTAGAGTCGCGTCGTGGTAGAAAACCTCTGGATATCAATAACGTTGTTTATTGGTTCAAAAATGCAAGGGCTGCTCAAAAGAGAGCAGAAAATAGGGGAATTAATGGATATAGTCCTCCAGGTCTAAGTCCTAGGGGTGCCAGTATTGTCAGTGAAGACTGTTCTGATGAAGAAGAAGATTCACAGCATCAGGTGAGATTTTAAAATTATAATAATTATAATGATGTTAAATTTATAATGAATATTTTTAATTTATATCTCCAACAGTCAAATTCAGAATCTCCTTGCTTAGCGGGTAGTCCTCCAGTCGTTGGACCTCTGTCTCTAACAACCCGACCTGAGGATCGAGTTCACATTCCGCCTACTCCTACATCAACAGCAACAGCGACATCAACTCCCACAGTTAAACGTGAAGATGATGTTGCTACGAGAGTATCATCAGGCTCTGATGATGAAGATTCTCCTGGTGGAGTTCCAACAACTCCTATACCACCAGGATTTTCTCTTGTACCAAGTCCAATGTTTGGACATAGTATTATGTACATGTCTCACTATCTACCAACACGTGGTGGACCAACAGGATGTCCTGCAAGTATGCTTGATGAACGAAGAAAAAGGAATCGAACGTTTATTGATCCTGTAACTGAAGTTCCCAGATTGGAGAACTGGTTTGGTCATAATACTCATCCCAGTCATGCGGTAAATACTTGTAATATTGCATTTTAAACTATAACTATTATTACAAACTCTTATTTTAAGTTGTCTCTTTTATTTATCTTTTCTAGCTTATTTTAAAGTACACAGAGGAATTAAATAGGATGCCATATCGTCAAAAATTTCCACGATTGGAGCCCAAGAATGTGCAATTCTGGTTTAAAAACCGTCGGGCCAAGTGCAAGCGTCTGAAGATGGCACTCTTTGAGGGTGAATCTCCTCAACCACACCCTTATGCTCATGCTGATTAGTCTAGAGAATACCTCTATCACTAAATAATATAATTTAAAAAATGATGAAACATAAAAAAACTTAAAGTTTGAACGATCTGTGAAGTGAAGTGATCGAAATTAGAGAGAATATTACATTCTCGTAGGTACCTAGTCCTACAACACTGGCAATGGAACCGAAGGAGTTTAAAAAAAATTGTAGTTACTAAATAAATAATATAAATAAAAGGATTTAAATGAGGCTGTACCTTAACTGTAATTACATTAGCACCATTCGTTATAATTATTAATGTCGTTACTAGTGTTATTGATAATATAATGCATTATAGTGATCACTATATAAAATATAATAAATATTATTATTACTAAAATCGTGATGATTTATGTAAATAAGATATCAAATAAAAACATAAAATACAGAAATCTTTTCTTCAGTCTTTTTTATATGCTTTAACTTTTTTATTAAAAGTAATAAAACATTTTTAAATGGAATCTTAAAAATATGTATGTAAATGTGTTATTTTGACTGATTGTTGAATATCCTTGCCCTAATTATTTAGATGTCTATGTTCTTCATCTCTGTTATCTTCTATCAGTAAAACATTACAAATGTACTGTCCTGATTTGAGCATGACACTTCCTCACGAGACAACCGGAATAAATAGGCATGGATGATACATTTGTGATGTAGACATAGAAGTGTGGCTAGAGATAGGCAAACTGAGACGACATACCTGTCTCTCCTGTGATATTTTCTACGTACACAAAAGCTTCTACGAATGTACCATGGACTATAAAGTAAAGAGCGAATATGTATGTACATCCGACGAAAATCTATCTCACAGATAAGAAGGTAAAGACAGAACGTGTTGCATGAGTGAGGATCCAGTCTATGTGTGAGTCTTTCTGTCATCAAGTCAACCCTAACTCAAATTCCGACAATACATGAATACATATAAGGCTGTTTTATCTCACTTCCTTAACTCCTTTTTTTGAGTTTAAAACCCTATAATCTTGCTGTCTTAGATCATTAATTTATCAATTAAATGTAAATAAATATTTTAATATTTTGATAAATAAAGCATCATTTGATTCTCAACAATTGTAATTTTCATAATTTATTTATTTATTATTAGTTTTAGTTCTTCAATAAATTATTGTTAAATTTATTTATTTAGAATTAATGGAATAAAATTTAGTACTACTTTAAAGTTAATAATAAAATAGTTGTTTGAATTCTATTCTATTCAACTTTCGTAATCTTTGTGATGATGTAAAAATGAAAAAATGATTCGATAATTATTTTAACTCTTATTTCTATTTTTAATATAAGCGAGGACTCATCCCAGTTTTAATATTGAATTTTTTTAAAATTATTAGTAAATAAATTTTAGGATGGAAAATTGTTTATTTTTTATCAACTTGAGTTTGTTAAAATTTTAATTGAATAAACAAAAATTGGATCAACATGATCAAATCAATTAAAATGTTTTCCTCCATTATCGCACTCATGTAGTTTTTTTTTGTTCAGTATTTTACAGTTCATTTATTAGTAAACCATCTACTACTTTTTTAAATTTAATTGTCACCTAATTTTATAATATTAAAATTAAATTACAATAAATCCAGTCTAGACTGGCTTGCAAAACATTTTTTATTATTAACAAAGCTTCAATATCGATGGAGACTTTTAAAGGACAAGGCGATTATATAAGGAAAAAAATCCCTGACAAAGGAAAATCGACGAGAGTCGATAGCGAAGGAGAAAAAGAAAAAACAGTAAGTCTACTGCTTTAAAAGTAAGAACATACAGGGATCGGAGATTTTCAATTCAGTCTAAGTAGGAATAACACAAAGATGACAGGATATCAACGTTTATGATAAGGGCCTGACGAATAACCCAAGAGCGGCAAGCATAGAGGATGGATTTAATGAGGATAGGCGGATTTGTCCAATTAAAACGTCTTACAAGGATCCATTCGGTCGCACATGCTTCTCTTTCTCTTCCAGTCTCTTTCTCTATTCATCCTTTTACATAAACCTTTCTTTCTTATCCTTACGTGAGCTTTCACTTAGTTTGTAAGCTTCACTGTACATTAATCCCCCAAACGACCAAAATATTGCAAAAAGATACCTCTAAATAATTTAATCAACTTTACCTAATTATTTATGTTAGAATTTTATTAAAATATTCTTATTTAAAATTTATTTTATTCAAAAAAGCTGTATAAACAATATCGACATTGTTAAAATTTAATTTTCACAAATCTTTATCGTAAAAAATTCAAAATATAATTTATTTATAATAAAAAAGTTACTTTTTCTAAAGTTTATATTCAAATGGCTTAAATTATATAAGATCTTATCTCGGAGATTCGGATTGGTTTTTTTTTTCAGTGGACTCCACATCTCGAATCATTATTCAGATACACATTATTCTCATATTCTCAAGACAAATTAATATTTAAAAAACATCTTACACATATATTGCTCTCTCTCTCTCTTGCAGAAACGAAGACTAGCTTATTTCTGGTTCCATATTAAATTAAATTAAATTTTATTACATTGGTCTAATTTTTTAAGTAAAGTTACAGTTAATTTTTATTCCTCCTGAAAATAAATCTGAACACTAAAATAAATTACCTATCATAAAAATAAAATGTGTTTTATAAATTTGAGCATCAAGGAAGTGACTCTTTTAGATTAATTTAACTTAAGAGATTTTTTACTATTTAAAAAGATACCTCATGTCTATTTCAAAGATTAGATTCATTTCTATTCTTTGATTGTTTTCATTACAATTACATTATTTAAAGACATTTTAATTTTACAATAAAGATCAATTAAAGAGTAACAGTTGAATATATCATATTGATGATGGTGTTTCATCATTTAGGTTGAAGATCTATGGATAACAACTAGTTGCTTGTTGGCAACTCGTCATTAATTTTTAATAAAATACAACCGATGTTTAAAAAAACAACTATTTTTTTATAAAATAACACTTGTAATTATTTAATTAATTTAATAATAATAATGATTATCAAAGTATTATTAACAAATTCATTTCTTGGAAATAAATTAAACAATAAAGAATGATTGAGTGTAATTGATATAAAAAATAATAGAATGAAGGGTAAAGAGATATGATGCTAATTTGTGAATAATATTCGAAGGGCGACTTGAAATATTTCTCCAAGTCTCGAAAAGGACTCAACTATGATGCGGAACACACACCTGAGTCTCCAACAGTTTCATTGTGGTAGCATTGAGTATTCAGAGTAGGTTCTTATCTTGCTATCCGGAGAGCTGTCAGCAAAGTTCCTGAATAATGGCAAGAGGCTTTTCTCTCTTCTCTCTCTCTCTTGATTTTCATGCCTATCTGCTGGTTAGGATATGCCTAACTGTGCTGTTTTCATGTGACTATACCGGACGCTTCTAGCGATAGATAATATGTCGTGTCCTTCATCATATTCTTGCCGTTTGTCCGGAAAGTGTCTCAACACAACTTGAAATTATTTTCAAAATTACCGGTTGTGATGAAATTACTTTTAAATTTAAACAATTTGTAGCGGAAAATTATTGATATGTTGATTTACCTCTAAATCATGCTTCAGAATGATTACATATATTATGTAAGCGGTTTAAATTAAGTACAATAGAGAGAAGTGGACTGTCAAGATTGTGATCAGACTGTGAGAGATTTAAAAATGAGAAAAGCCAAGAAGTGAACTTTAAGATTGTAAAATAGAATGAAGATATTCACGAGCTCGCAAATTAGCCATAAGATCGGTTTTATAATCCTTGAGGGATGCAAGAATTTCCTCTAGGGGCAGATGAGGTAGTACAAATGAAGTCTCGTTTTCATTTTATTCTTTCGCTTCTTCTTCTTGATTTCTTTATTCTTTAATCCGGACTCATACCCGCTACCCATTTGAGAACAATTATTTTAACTTGAGAAACTATTCCAAAAAAATCTTATTAATATTTTATTATTAATTAGTTGTATAATTTATTATTAGTACCTAATCGTAGGTAAAAAAAATGACAAATATATGTTTGGAAACATGAAAGTTTTTTTTTTATTTTCATTTAGGTGAACTACAATCTCTTATTTTTTAACATTAAGTAATTGTTCTGGTTTTTTTAATAGTAGCATGAATGGGCTGTGTTCAGAGGATCTTCCAATGAGTCACTCTTTGTTATTTATTTATATGTTTATGTAAATATAAGGAAACATAAAAGTGAAAATGTTTTTATCCAACAGTGAATTTTAAGTTTTCGTAAATAATTATAAATTCAAAATTCAGTGTGCTATTTTAGGATATTTAAATAATATTATACATGTTGTTGTTAAAATACTATTATTATAATCGATGACAAATACTTATCGAAAATCGTGGAACAATTATAAATGTTCCTAAATTGTGACACAATAAAAGTAATAAATTAATTAACGCGAAAATGAGAAGAAGAAAGAATAGAAATCACGTCTGAGGAATTATATTTTCCCCTTCAAATACATCCGCAATCACTTCTTAATTGATCTACAGCCAAAAGTATCGTCATTTGACGGAATTAACTCAGCTGCAAGTAAGTACATAATACTGTTCAAAAATCCGTCTCAGGATCATTGGTCAAGATCTATTGGAGTATCTAGTATCTACTGAGCAGCGGAGATGATGCTACTTAGCCCCTCAAGGTCTAAAGTGGATAGATATAGTTCAAGTAAACGAGAAAGAAGTCTCCGGGGGCATTTTTCGCTACCGTAAATAAAAGAAATCCTTGTAATGGCTTTCGCCAAGGGTCTAGCAGTTATTCCCTCCCTTTCCCCAACTCCATTGCCCTCAAGCTTAGATCGAGGGTTATTAAGCTTTCCGCCCCTCCACCAGCGTCTCCTCTTTCACCCTCTTTGCGTCTTCACGACCCGGTTAATTCCTTAACCCTTATAGACTTGGAGAAAATTTAGGGACCTCACTTTATACTCCTTTATATATCTATGTGAGAGCAACGAGTGTAGAGGATCGTCATGAGACACAAGAGAGAAGGAAAGCTGAAGTGCGTTCGCCAAGACTTGCTTCAAGTGAGTTGGTATACCAGGTGCTCTCAGGATCCTGGCGTCTTACGCGCCCGGACGATACATAATTTATGTCGCGCGAGAGGGGCTTAAGACAGTATTAAGATCGCGCTCGACCCTGCTGGCCAGTTAACTACCCCTTGAGATTCTTACAAATCTCACCAGCTAAGACACTATTAAATTGCTAACTGCAGTTTATCCTTGAATAATTTTATTT